ATTCTAAGACACGATGACACTTCACTTCCCAATATCCAATTGACATTCTTTTGATCTATCTTTTGGACCGGTGCCTAAGTACATTAGCAAATAGTTTAGTGCTCAATTTAAGGCTGAATATATTCCCAGAATTCCTCTGGCAATCAATTATTTATTACTTACAAGTGTTAAGATCAAAAAGAAAAGAAAGAGATGTATATTTCACACTGACAGGAGGTCTGTGGGGATTACAGAAAACAGAAACTTTAATGCTAAAATTGTGTAAAAAGGGTAAAACGGGGATTCCCTAGTCAATATTTTTTAATGGACATGGCCTAGATTAATGAGTTGCTCTTCTTGGGGTTGTATCTCATGATTACAAATGATCATTTGAACACATCAATTTTTTCTGTACAACTTGGGAAAATTCCAATTCGCCTTTACTAAGGAATACCAGTCAACCTAGACTCACTGTCAGCTACCTGTCAGCCCCATTGTACCATACAATTAGTTAATTAGCCTAATGATTCATTCCTACCGACAGGCCTGGAATTTGTGCCAATTTTACAGCAAGGTCATAGTGCCTGTATGGCTTCTTTGGCACATCCAGAAAACCTGCTCAGTAAGAGGCATCAGCATTCAAATAAAGAGGAACTCACCAGAGAGGAGTTTAGTTCTGAGGATCATCCGTATTTCGCCCAGCACCATGGAGGCCAGAGACCCCTTTCAAAAGCAACTTCAACCAGGCCAGTATTTGCATTATTCACATTGGTGACATATGGGCAAAAATGGAGATTTGCTCATATCAAGACCAGATTTGAGGCCTCCAAGGACCAAGAGCCGGTCAGAGCTACAGTACTCAGAACGAAACTTCACCTAGAGTCACCACTGGCTAATGCAAAATTATTCAAACAGGACTGAAGAAGCAACAAAAGAAAAATAACCTGATACAAACAGAAACTCAAGTTCAGGAATACAAGCTGACAAAAGACAACCTTCAGAAATATGAAAACTGGTCATAAATATAAGTGAGCAGGTACATAGACCATGATGTTACTCTTCAACCTGCCATGCGCAGTAGAATATCTAGCAACCACTGCTATAAAACTTTATCACAAATGCCAGAACTTGGTAACAACCTTGCCTATTTTTTTTTCATGGTGAGCAGTATATCTAGCAATGGAGCAAACTCTTTTCCTTCTACTTTTCCAGGTTATACAGCTAATCTATCACCATCTCCGAGCTCAGTGGAATTTTAACACCCTTGTAATTCAACCTAGTTATTTGTCAAGTAAACAGATAAATTACACCACTGTAAAAGTGAGATCCATCTAAAGAAAGTGGCAGCTCTCCAGGTAAAAAGAATCGGCCATCTGCTCTAAAAAAAAAAAATCCAATAACACCCAGTGACAGATCACTTCAGTTATCAAGAGAAACTTGAAACAGTGGGGCACAAATGGGCCACATGAAACTGAAGAATCACACAACAGAGAGGTTGCAAATAACATGAAAGGTAGTTCATCATTGACTCTGCCACACATAGATTCAAAAGCTATCTTAAATCTTAATTTCTTCAATAAATATAATTATTATTAATTCTTCCTGAGATATGCTTTACTTTGAGATGGTCTTCAGTTGGTACATCTTTGAGGTTTGCAACACCATTAAATGAAGGAGATTAAAAAAATCTTTGTTTTCTCTCGGAGTGATTCTTCTTTTTAATGAATTTTCGAATGTTCAATTTGTCATGTTTGGAATAAAGTTATTTAGAAGTCTAGAGGTTAATTACAAAAACAACGGCTGTCTTTACTGAAAGAGCTCAATTCAACTATACGAACAGACGCAAACTGAATTCAACTTTGAAGATTTAGTCAGTTTGGAACTGGCTTGTGCTGTGTGAAATGTCACCCACACAAACCTTGCAAGAGAACATAAAGTGACAATACACCAAAAGGATGAAACTCCTATTGGAACAAAATCTCTGTGGCTGAAAAAAAAATGCTTAAAGGAGGATAGTTATTTAAATTCCAGTCTCTAATTCAGCTATTACCTAATTAAAGAGAGCTGATGTAGAACCTCTTACAAACATCCTGACACAATCTAAATTTCTTGTCACCTCACTGGTTTTCTTCACGCTTTTCTCTGTTCTTTGAGCTCTTACCTCAGGCCTTGCTCAAGGATAGGGTGTCTATTCTCCAGACTGCCTCTGTATTGTAGACTAGTGGCAAATTAAAATTAAGCTTTTGCTTTGTTAAAAAAATAAGTTTATATAAGCAGATATAAACAGTAGACTCAGTTCTGTACAGGCCTGGGGCATTAGTGCCAATTCTTTCTTCACCATAACCCAACCCAGTCTCTTTCTGCTGGGCGAAACTAGTAATGATGAACATATGAATGAACAAATGCTAAAACACTCCTTTTGCTCAGCGCCGCAAGTCAGCTTTAAATACCTTCCTCTCCCGAACTGACAATCTGCCATTTTCACTATGATGAATGTCTTAAGTATTAACGTACAGTGGAAAACCCAGTATATCAGCATGGAAGATCATCAAAATCTACACTAGGAAAGAGTAATTTTCTCCATCCTATATATTTTATAAAGAAAGAGATGCATAGCCCTGGAGTCTGATCATGCAACTGTTAAAAAAGACATTGTTTTTGCTGCTGAACTGCTACATAAACATTGCCCGGGGCCCAAGGGGCACCCTCAGGCTCCCCACATGCCGAACAAAGGAAGAGGAATTTTCTGCCTGTAGAAACAGGGCTGCTGGGGCACACAGTCCCTCGATACTATGATCTGCTTAGAGCTCTACTGCATTACAGAGGATTCTGCTCTTTAGACCAAAAAAAAAAAAAAACCCAAAAAAGAAATAGAGTGAGGAGTGGGTATGATCCTGTACTAGTCATGCACACTATCACCAAGAAATGCTGCCAAAAACATGGAAGAAGCACACAGAGCTTTAGAAGGAAAAAAAGAAATCCTTGTTCGGCTGAAGCCAATGAGAAGAGTTTTCTTTACCTATGATTACAATTTTTACTAAAGTTTAAAGGTGAATGGCATAGATGTATTCTACTGGTAGAACACACACACACACAAAAAAAAGGACAGTTTTGAGTAAACCTTACAACCCTTTTGAGTCAACCTTACAACATTTTTGATTCAAGATGTCCGTGATGCTGACTGCTGTAGCTCAGAGAGCAGGGGTACAGGGTGACAGCGGAAGACCCGCATAATGACTGGTTTGGTGTTATTCAAACGCTGGCAAAATATAGCTTTGCATCTGTTGGTAAAGAAGAGAAATAATAGTATTGAAAAACAAATCGAGAAAATACACACACACGGATGTGATTCCTTATCAACCAGAGTGCTGTCAAAGGGAAGCATCAATTTTCTAACTTTGTAATACCAGCCACACTGCATTAAGCAAATGAACATAAAGGTCAAACGTGAAACGTGGTTAAGGCAATTTGCCTATGAAACCAACCAATGCATTTCAGCTATTACAAACTTAATTCTATTACATACTAAATATATCAATTAAATATCCCTTTTTTTACTGCTTAGATGTATTTAATGTTTTTACTCTCTTTTTCTTGAATCTTTCTGGCTTGATCTCCTTTGAACTGTGACACCTCGTCTTGCATTAGACTGTAGTATCAAACCACTGCTGTGGTCAGGACAAGAGTTCCCTACTGGAACACAGTCAGTAACAAGTGATAAGATAGGAGTGGGTTTCAGTCAACTGGCATTTATGCACTGGGTATATTTTAGGTCTCTGACTTCAAATAAGGCACTTTTTGGAATTAGCGCAGTGGCTTTAATTAGAGGAGAACAGCACCAAAGAACCTATAATTACAAAAAGAAACATCAGTCATGAGGTGGAAGCCATGAGTGGTATCTTTGTCATAAGCTGCCCTGAGCCCACACCACCGTTGGGTTAGGTTCAATCATCAGTTAACTTCAAGGCCCATCACTTCTAATTAACAACCCTTTTGAACCCTTCATGGAATGCGGTCCGGATCTCTAAGGCACAGTAACTACAGCCAGACACGCAACTCTAGAAGTCCTGTCCCTTATGTTGGTTTTTTCCCCTCCAAATTTGAGGCAGAAGCCTCCTTCAGTAAAATTAAACTCTCATAGAAGTTGCATTTTGAGATGTGCATCCCCTCCCAGTCATCCAGTTCCTTCTTCCTAGAGAACCATTTGCCTTCTAGATTCTTGATAGCTTTGCATATATGGGTATATATATGTATAATTACATAATCCCCCTGCTCAAGCAGGGAATTCCCCACAAGGGACCATCTCCTTTCTGTGCTTCATTATGTAGTGTTAGGAATGGACACTAACACTACTGCTCCACGTTAGGTTAAATATTGCTCCTTGTGGAGCTGATATTGTCACCTTGAATATAAAACATTAAGGTGGAGTCATACGGCAGCAACGGGATGTTCTGCAAGTGGGAGTTCAGGGTGAGGAGGTAAAAGGAGCAAGCAAAGCCACCACCTTTCGCTTGAGGTTGATGCCATGTGCTTTGGGGCACCAAGACAGCTAAAACTCTAACTTTAAAGAGGCAAACGCAGCTTCTTGAAGGAAAGCAGGAGACCCGCTCACGGGTTTCTGATCCTAAACGCAAGGACAGGCAGTATCCCCAATAACTAAAAAAACTAGCGCACCATCGCTATCCTTTTGACACACAGGTAACAGCAGCAGAGGTGCTATTCTCATCCCACGGGGGCCTGGGTTTAACACGTCAAAAACGTAACCAAAAAAAACTGGTATCGAGGGAATTTACAGCAACAGCTCGCAATGGGGTGGACAGAGGCGACATGGCCCAAAACGGGTCTCGAACCCGCAACCCACAGCGCGTCGCAAGGAGGCACGGGCCGCACTGCGCAAGCGCAGCAGTCGCCACCGCAGCAGCCGCGCGCAAGCGCCGTGCGGAGGGGCGGGGCAGGGAGGGCGCGGCGGTCTCGCGCGTGCGCGGCGGCCGCTCCCCTCCTCTCCCCTCCCCTCCCCCGCCGCGCCATGGCTGCCGCGCCCCGCAGGGCGGAGTCGGGCACCCAGGTGAGGCGCTGACGCCCCTTCCCCTCCCCCCCAACGCGGCGGGCTCTCCCGGGCGCCTGCCCCGCGGCGCGGAGCGAACGAGCCGCTCCCGGGGCGGAGCGGGACGGGAAGGGCCGCGGGTCCCCGCCGGGGCC